AGAAAAGCCGCACCTGACTAAAAGCCGCAGGGTTCAAAGCTTGTGCAAAAAGTAGCGGCTTATAGCCCGACAATTACGGTATATAGGACACACACACACGACTGTGCCACACGAGGAGTCAGATGATCTCTTCCTATTTCTGAAGGACAATAACTTATATCGTCATGTAAACATGTTTCAGACGAACAGACACAAACTGCAGTTTTGAAATAACAATTTCATTTATTAATAGAAAAAGGCCATCCAAACATTCCTGCCTTTGACCGGAGGAAGTCACTCCTCCTGAAAACTGCAATCAGCTGTTTGCAGCATAACTGGGACGAGTCTTTTCACATCGTTGTGGAGGAATGTTGTCCCACTCTTCTTCACAGGGTTGTTTTAATCGGGCTCAGTGGACGGCTTTTTCCATCACGGAAAGATGTTGTTTAAGTGACTGAAGTCCCCGTGTTTGGCACAATTAGCTGTTAGCAAAGTTGAACTCAGCTTCACAGTTAATTCATGACATTTCAGGGGCAACTACTTTTTCACATCAGGACATAATAAAAACTTTGCTCAATATTAAAATTTCATGATCTGAAACGTGTGAAAAATATCTAAGAAAACATGTCAAATGTACAAATATGTTCTGCGCAGCATCTGTTCGTAGGACTGCACTCGTCTGGACTCAAACCTCTGATGCTGTGTCTGAACTCAGGGTTGCATCTCCTGATGTTACCATGGGGCCACTTTGAGGTTTAGCTTCCACGTCTGATCCAGCTGTTCTTTAGACACGATCACTTCTGTCTTGTTCTTTCACAACTTCTGCTTCTTGCCTGGTTGGTTGGCCAGGAGCTGCTTTTGTTTCTGGAACTGCAAGGAAATGCCTTTGGTGGTGTTTCCCATCAGGACTTCTAAATCCAGATTTCCCTGTACATTATCACAGTGCATCTTATTGTATGCTGTCCCAGTTTACAGCTTATGTCCTGCTAATATGTGCTGGATAGTCTTTGAACCTTTGCGTATGGGTTCATAGCACAGAGGTTCTGTCAGCTGCTGTAGACTCCTGATTAGATGGAGCTACACTGAATGGTAGCAACATCTGGAAAAATGAACACAAAAACCTCAAGAAGTACCAAGGACTGAGAGAAGAGTTGGAGAAGATGTGGAGGGTGAAGGTAATGGTGGTCCCAGTGGTAATCGGAGCACTCGGTGCACCCAAGCTAGTCGAGTGGCTCCAGGAGATCCCGGGAACAACATCCCAGATCTGTGTGCATAAGAGCGCAGTCTTAGGAACAGCTGAGGTCCTGCACTGACCCTCTCAGGCCTCTGTGTGTGTGAGAGAGATACCAATACTGCACTTTGAGTGACTTTAATAGAGATAAATTATATTTGATCATCTCTTCAACAGGACTGCATACCTCAGTATTATGAAGGACACTTTCAGAGAGTCGGTAAGTATGAATCTGTTTAAATATTATAATTAACAAGGTGTGATGACGAATCGTTTAATGGCATTTTGTCTACTTCCCAGAGTCCATGCGCGGCTTCATAAGGAACAATAACCTAGCCCTGTCTTTGACTGGTTCCTGTTACGATGGTGTGTCGGTGAATGATGTCATCTTCAGTGGACGGACAGCTGTGGAGGAGTTGTTGGGAACTGTAGTATGATGAAGCTGGTTGCTATGAATCATGGGATTCATGTGCGCTTGAATCTTCTACCACCTGTAATGCCTTGAATCATCCAGACATTGTGTGGAAAAAGTGCGCTCACTGATGTCAGCTGCAGCGGTTTGAATCTAAGATGCATCTTAAACTTTATATTTTTGCCTGTATGACTCGAGATTGTGTTAACACGCCTGAATGTCACTGCGGAGCTGCTTCACATTGTGCCATCTTTGTTCCCATTGTTTTGTTTTTATTGGTCTGTGGCGACAGATATGAGAACGTTTCACTTTAAATGGCCAACTTGCCTCCTGACATGATTTGCAGTTTAAGATCTTTGTTTCTGTTTTTGTTTCATTGCATTTACTTTGAATGTAATTGCTGATAAAGATAAGCTGATATAACCTGCACATGCTGTCATAAAGCTCTTCCCTCAAAAATCAGCGTGTGCATCCAGCCTTTAAATTCCTGCCATGATAGTAAGTAACGGCTTTTACTTCTGTAGATGCTGACAGTTAACCATGGCACATGCTGAGGCCTTTTCATTGAGCCAATGTTGTTAATGGTTAAAAACATTCAGACGTAGGCCTGTTTCTGCAGTTATAAAGTGATTTTCTTTATTTCGTCAGCCCTGAATGGTCATGAGGAGCTTTCCCTCTTTAGCTTTTGTGTTGTTGTGGTCTGCAGAGCCTTCTCTAATGGGTTCCAGTTCAATTGTATATTGCACCAAATCATTATTGTAAAGTCCCTTCAATAATTTTCCAAGCTGAAGGGAGACTGAACCACTGCCTCGTCCAAAATAAACTGATTACAATGGCAGTCAGTATGGATACAATGTAAGCACATCACGTAAAACAAACATCTTAAAAATATTGGTTTTATTTTAGAAGGAAAACAAAAAGTTATGAGCGGATCCGGTCCATGGACCGGGTCATGATCTCACACACAAACACACACACTTGCTGGAAACTATCTGAGGCCCAGTTTCTTCTTCTCTTTTTGTTTCTTGCGAACCACTTCAATGTTGCGGTCCTTCCACATGCTCTTCCTCAGTTTGATGGGACGGCTACCAAC